AGACAGATTGGAAAAGTTTTTAAATTCGAACGTATTTTGTGGATTCTAATCGTACTTTTAGAATTAATGAGACAATTCAACGGAATAAAATAGTGAAAACTTGCTTGACAAAAACCCAAACTTTACGAGATTTGGATATGAACCATTCTCTCATTCGAAAATCTCTCATAAATTCCTATGAATTATTTCTTTCTTTTTTTGTTTAATTCGAACAATCAACATCTTAGAAACTTTATAATAATTTGTTTAAAAAAAAAACAGTATCATTTTTCTCTTGATATGACAGTAAAAGTGTTTATATCTATTGAACGAATTCACATCATCCTAAATCTGCTTAGAGTTATTTTTAATAGAATAAAATCCCTTACATTGTACCCAAAATATCAGCGAAAATTACATGGATTAATGAATGACCTTGACTCGTAAGCGTGTCAAAATTATTCATATCAATCGAAAATTATTTTAGTTTCTTTTTTTTTTTTGAAATATGAAATTAAGATTTTTTTTATAATTTCTTATTTTTATATTATAGATTGGATCAATCTTCAGTTGACCATGATATTAATTAAGTAAACATGAAATTTCTATGAATGTGTACAAATCTATTATTTGACATCAACTATTATTCATCGAATACATACATAAGAATTTCAAATCGTTTATTTAAAACTACAGATTTTCGCAAAAGTCCGTACGTAGAAGTTAATGTAAATATTTCTTATAAAATTTAAGCGAGTTGTTTTTTTTTTGCCATTAACTGAAATACATAAATTCATCTTTTTCGAATTAATTTATTTCCGTTATTGACACATTTTTAAATATGTGTTATACACCTATGTTTTCCCATTATCTTCAATAGTAAATCATTTACATGTAAAAGAGATTTCATCCGAAAAAAATTAAGATAAATTCTCTTGATTGTTAATATTTTCTAGCATTGCTATTAAAATAATTGAATTTCAAATCGATCATATGAATCTAAGTTTGTGCACTTCATTAGAAGATATTTAGTCATAATTTATTTTACTTTTGTTTATGGAATGAAACAAACTGTTGTAACAACCAGAAATACTCGATACTTATTCATTTTCACAAACATCATGACCTTCAGTCAATTTTTCAAGGTCTTTCAGATTATTGTCCATTTGATTTCGCGACCGATGACTTATACTTGATTATTACTAAAATACCCACACCTAGAGCTCGTCGGGTACAACATTTTTGGGCCCGGACCCGCTCTGTTGAACTTCTTTTAGCTCGGTAGTCGGTCTTTAAAAAAAAATTTCATACCCGAACTCGGGCCCTATCCGGACCCGATCTCGTCTGTATCTGAGACCAAAGCAACGTGTTCTATTGAACACAAACAACTTATTTTTAACACTAGCAATCAAAAGCAAGTAGCTTTTCAGAGAAAACTGAAGATCAGTAAAACTTCCAAAAATATTCGCATATGCATCAAAAATTGCTTTAGACCCGGACCCGGGTCAACCCGATGGGCTCTACCCACACTCTGCATGGACTTCTAAGACAGCCTGTATATTATCTGAAGTGAGTTATTATAACATATTTCAATATTTATATTCTGACAAAAAAAAAAAAAAAATTATAAATGAATAATATTGGAAATCAGTTTGATTCAATAGATGTCATCTACTTTATTTAATAATCGAAAACAAAAGAATAACTGATTCAAGGATATAAACAATAGAAAAAAAGTTTATATTAAAAAAAAACATGAAATCACTGAGACACAACTAAATATCTTATTGATTTTTGTAGTTGAATTCTTTTCCACTATTTTCAAAACTTCTATAGTTTTATTTTAAAATAAAAAGGAGGAAAAAAAATACTATTGGTGTATTTCAGCAAACATATTAGATGAATACCCATCATAATACCACATGCTGCAATAAATGACGTGTAAATATAATTTTATATTGATTTCATAGAGCGATAGTGCAGGCTTACATAAGACCCTAAAGTTATTGTTTTTTTTTTGTTCTAATTTTCTACAGAGAAAGCATTTTTTTCGACCTCCATGTCAAAGAGAAAAACATCACAGAGAACTCGACAAATATCTCATTTTTTAGAGAATGATTTTCAAATTGATTTCCAATCAGAAACATGATCGTTATTTTGTTATAGTAGATTTACACACAATTCGATAAATAATCCAAAAAACCGAAGGTCTACAGGTATTCATAAATACTCAAATCCGAACTTGAGGGTGTTAGTATGATTATCAATATATCTCAAGAAACGTTTGGGTAATTACTTGAATATATCACACTGTCTGAGCTAGTTGGATAGTTTCTCCGAACACTGAGCTAAAGTTCAGATTCGGTACATCTCTATACTCAAATAAGTTTCTATGAAATAAATAATATTTTCTCAAGAAAATACTTGTCTGATATTGCCATATGATTGAATTTGTTTGTTTTCTATATTTTAAAGTATAGATATTTTTGTGTAATTTTTTTCTTGTAAAATAATTTGTTCAATATAAATGTTTTGTTTTTATTAGAAATAAAATTTTCTTTTTTTTTTCAACAGTAGATTTCTAATAAATAAATAATCTTATTTTATCCTATATTCAAAGATGACTAATATAAATAATGAACAAATTAATTCTCTTACACGTGATCTTGAATTAATGCGTGAACGTTATCTTAAATTAGTTGATATACATGGACAATTACAAACACAAAATAGTTTATTAGAAGAACGAATTCTTTCTATTGTTGAAACATATTCAAATGAAAAAAGTCAATTAGAACAAGAATTAATCGATGCCAAACAAGAAATTATAAATTTAAAAGATACAATTAATGAATTAGAAATTGAAAAACAACGATATAAAGATGATTGTAATTTAGCTGTTAGACTTTTACATCGACATCCACATGAATTTCTTTCTACAAAATCAGATTTTACACAAAAACAGCTGCAAAATAAAAATGAATCAGTGAGTAGATTGAAAAGTAAAAAAAAAAAAAAAAGATTTAATTCATCAAAAATTAGATAAACAATAAGAACTCAATTAGGCGATATTTGACACATAATGTATAACTAATGAAGAAAATCCTTCAATTGAATAATCGGTTTGAACTTGAAGTATTATCTATTATGAAGATCCGAATGATTTTTAGATATTGGAGGGAAGAGTTCGTGCTAGTATGAAATGTGGAATTTACATATGTTCTCTAGTCTCATTAAGCTAATACAAAAAAAAAATGGGAACTGAAAAATATCTCGTAGACTCATTTTAAAGAGAATTTTTTTCACTGGATGCCCTATTTTGTTGGTTTCTATTTCATGATGTCTACAGAATAATAATGTTCATTTTTTTTTCGAAATTATAATTTGATTAATTTTGCAAGAAAAACTCCAGAAAATCTGATGCCTATTCTTCTCGATTGCTAAAGTCTGTAATGGAGAGGAGATGAGCCGCAAAAACTTGACCTTAAAATTTACACTCATTATTTTCTTGAAAAATATATGTAAGTTCTACAAAATTGATTTTCAAGTTTCAACTTGACACTTTATATAGAATGAGGTCTTAAAAAGAAGAGCTTATTGTGAAAATTTCAGATATTTTCGTTGTTTCTATCTTAAAATTTGGGTGTGATATGTCTTTTACATCTCTCATATAAACGAAGAGATTTGATATTCTTATTTGTAAAAATAAACTAACAGCACGAACTCTTTTCCAAGACGATACACATTGTCTCCAATCAATAATGATTAATTAGTTGACGAACTTCCGTCATAAATTTTATTACTGCATAAGTTTTCAAATCCAGAGTAAACCGACCAAGAAAATAGACGACTTCTCAAAAATCGATTTATTTTCGGAACCACGTATATTCAAATCATATGAAAATTTCCGGACATAGTGAGACTATGGTAAAATTTTCACTCATATACCATAACGTTTTTCCGTAGATACTCAATTAACAACGACCGAAAGTAGGTCATTTGACATTTCAAAATTCTTTGTAAGATTTATTCTATGCACTTAATTGTGCTTTTTTGTTTGCTTGAAAGAACATGTCAAGATGTCGGCCATGACCGAAGACTTTTTAATACTCTTACTTTTTAAGCAGATAAAAGTTCAATGTATCAAAACGCTTTTGAAAAAGGACACTCTAATTTTAGAAAAAAAAGTGCTTTTTTTCTTAATAGTAACAAAGCTTAATTAAAATTAAAAAAAAAAAGGTCACTTTATCATGTCGTGCATCTTGACATGCTCTTTCAGACAAACAAAATTGCAATTAGTTACAATGAAGCTTCTTCAATAACCATCTGGAATATGCAATCAAAAAAGTACAATCAGAGAAAAACATATTTTTTAAACAGAAAATCATAGAAATTTTCGAAAACGAAAAAAATCATATCATTTATGAAAGATCAAACTTTTATATATGCATCTTAATTTGATAACAATTGACTTTTGTTTTGAAAGAGAAGAAGAAGCAAAACTTAATTCTTCAATTTATAATTTTCTAATATTGAAATAAAATTTTCTTTTATTATGGTTCAGACATTTACAACTCCATCTACACAATCTCAACATACTATAGTCATACCTACTTTTCCACCGACATTTGTAACATCACTTCCATTGTTCAATACAACAAATTCATCATCAACAATTGTTACTCAAACTAAACCAATAGCTATTGATAATCTTCGTCTTGCTGAAACACTTTTCAAATCAAATACTGTTCATCGTTATCCTTCTACTCATTTTATTTGTTCAAATTGTCATCGAACAATTAAATGTTGTGATGTAAGCATTCAAACATCTTTAGATGATCATAATACAATATCTCGAATGCGTGTTATATCACATACAACATCGGATGATGAATTTCATGATGACAAAGGATGGATATCATCTGAACCTCATTGTACACATATGACAGTACAAGAATATCAAATGGGAAATACAAAAAAAGCATTTCAAGATACAGGATTACCATCTAATTCAATTCCTCAAATGCATCATGTTTGAGATATTGAATTTTTCTCTTGTCTTTCTACACTACTTACGAAGAAATGTTTTCAATTGATCCGATCGCTGTTTCATCGAAAACTAGAAAATTGTAACTTACCGATCATGTGAATTCTAAATATAAACATAAGACATTCCCTTACGTTTTTATATAACATTCTTTCGTGAGACAATTTAAGTAAATTCTGTTTTTTATTCGTTATATTTCTCTAATAAATGATTTCATCAATAAATTTCTATGAATAAATAATAAGAATGAAATGAACGTATATATATTTTTCTTGTTACAATAACTATATCTACTTTCTTATTTAAAAACAAAAAATAAACTTTCTTGAGTAAATACTACACAAAAATAAAACAACAAAAACAAAAGTCATTTAATTAATATATTTGTCTTTTCTTTTGGTATGTTCAATAATCATATCAATCATATATTTACATGGTTCAAGTTCAATTGCTTCAATAATCGTGTTATTTAAAGAAAATAGACATCGAATAAGATTAGAAAAACTTATAACAGCTTGTTCATGATTATATTTACAAATTAAATAACGCCATGCTAATTCAGTATATATGTTTTGTATATGTAAAACTGTTTTCATATCGATTAGATTAATTGGAGCAACATTTGTATAATAAGTATAATTAAATGTAGAAAAAATAAGTAATGAAAGTATTAATTTAAAAAATGTACTATCAAAATTAAGTTGATTTATTATACAATTACTTTTAGTTAATATACTTGATCCATAAATAATTTCAGCAGATTTATAGAATGCTAAATTATTTAATAATTCTGTATGACGTAGTGTAAAACATGCACTAAAACTTCCGACATATTTCATTGTATTATGAAGTAAAATATAACGATCATGTGAACATAAAGAAATAAAATATGTATTATTTTCATAAAAATAATGTGATCGATTTATGAATGATAGAAAAAATTCATTGATTCGTGTTAATTTATAACGCATTTTTGGTGGTAAATTATTTTGTTCATATATAAAATTTTGAACTAAGGAAAATTCATTATATTCATCGTAACAATGAGTTAAATTTGATAGATGATTCCAATCATCGATACTTAATGTTGATTGATTAGATTGTAATAAATTCAAAGTTGGTAACTAAGATTAAAAGAATATTTTAATTGTTTAAAGAAATTTTTATGGATTATCGTGTTTTTTTTTTTTGTCTTTTAAATTATCTGTTATATATTCATATGATATTATTAAAGCAAAACTATGATATAAATTTATATAACGAGATGACCACTCTAGGTGTCAAATCAATTTTTTCTTTTGACTAAGACGATGTTTATTAGAAAAGTCTAGAATGTTTTGGTTTTACGAGCCTTTCGTTCTTGAGATATCGAAACTTCACTGAGGTTTTTGATCCTCCATAGGTCACATGAAAAATCAACGTACGAGTTTCAACTTCAGACTTTGCCCGAAAAAAAAAAGTTTTTAATCAGATTAATTCATTGGGTAAGTGGGAACTTTTTTTACTATGCCCTATCTTGAGATATTTAATATTCGAAATTCTCTCATGTATAAGAGCAAATTTTGTTTATCTCTCAAAAAAAGAAAAGCTAAAAATTGCACAAAATACTAATCCAATAAAAGTTCGATATTTCAAGAATGAAGGCCTGCAAAATCAATTAACTCTAGACTTTTGTATTACTGTATAATCTTCATCAAGCGAGCAACATTTCGATTGAAAAGTAGGGTGACATCTGGAAAGGTTTCCTCTCGAGTATACTGAAAGGTAAATAGTGGACGTAGTTCTTCCAATGCCAGAAAAAAAAACAATATTTTGATCGATATATTCCGTCGTAATAGCAAAATAATACTTTTCAAGGTTCTTCATAATTCATTACCCATTTAGCATGAAACCTTTGAGCTAAAATTTTTAGAAATAAATGGTTCTAGTGATAAAATACTTTTGATAAAAACTTCAATTTGATATGTAATATTAGAGAAATTCCAGTTTAATCATAGCATATTGATGACTTTTAGTAGAATTCCTAAAGCTTCATCACAGTAAGAGATACAAAGCTTTAGGTAGTTTCAAATTAAACTCAATACCATTTTTTTTATTCAAATAATACTTCAAAATTTATTTTTTGAGTATTTTAGTAAACATGGTGTGTTTAAATGCGTAATAAAAACAGTGACCTCAATCACACAGGAAAAGAAAAATTAGTCATAAAAAACAAATTATCCACATTTAAAGTTTGACAAAAGGAAAAACATCATTACTTTTCTAACGGTCAATAAGTTGAAAAATGGCTTATTAAAGAAAAATGTAGGTAGAAACTGTAAAAGCCTGTAACAGATGAAGCAAATATCATCTACAAGGCTTTGATATTTTTCTTCTTTTCTATCTCAGATAACGCACGTATTTTTATATACCGTCGTATTTCTTGAATGCACTAGTTGACATCATTCTTTTGATAAATTAAAAAAAGAACTAATTGCATATTTTTTTCTGTATCTAATTATAATTTTTCTTCAGTTCTTTAATTTTCATTGTTCAGCTTTTTATGATTTTTCTTTTCAAAAAAATATACAATTTATATAAAAATAAATCTCTTATAGAGTTCAAAATAAATATTATGCAAACGTTCATCATTATTACTTATAGAAAATGTTTTACAATTACATATCAAAATCGTTAAAAATAAATTTTCAACATTGATAAAAACTGCGGATCAATATGTACATTGACAATTGATTTGATTTTGATTTTAAAAGATAACCACATTTACCTTGATATTTAATCGTAAAACGCCTTGTATAAGTGTTTTAAATTCTATCATGTTAGGTAGTTCTTCGTGATACTAATAAATTTTCTCCGATAGTTTTACTAAAATCAGGTCATTTTCCATCTAAAAGATAACATATCAGTGCGTTCTTTTATTTATTTTTTTAATGAAACATTATGAAAATTAATGTTCGCAATAAGATAATAATCTCACATATATTAGTCAAGTTGATAAACAACTTATCAATGACTATTAATTGGTGAATTCATAGGCACACACAAAAGAAAAAAAAACAAATTTGGTTAGTCATGAAACAGAAAGTTGAATGTAGAAAATCCAATAAATCGAATAATTTTTAATAAAAAAAATAAATAAAAATTTTTTACAATATTCATTATATTGTACATAAAAAATTGATATTTTTGTGTTAAATTCGTCGAAAAAGTGTATCAATAAAATTTTTTTAAACTAGTATAATTTAATATTCTTACAAATTTGTTTTCATAAACATAATTAAATATTTCTAAATAGACAAAAGAAGAAGAAAAACAATTCTCACTTGATGTATTTGATCTAGATCTTTTAGTTTCACTAAAACAGTTGATATTTTTGTCATTTTAGTTTTTTGTCTTGTTTTATTTTTTGTTGTTCGAGATGATCGAAGCATTTCAGTTTGCATTCCACTTTTAAAACATTTAACAAGTCGACAATATGAACAATTATGACGATTAAGAGTATTTATTTCACAATGACCATCAAAAAGACATTTAGAATGATCCTAAAAATAAATCTATATAACTCAAGAAAACAATCGATTTTTTTTTTTATTTAATATAATCGAACCTGTTTTATTTCTGCATTACGTTTAAAAAACATTTTACATGAAAAACATACGATAACACTAACATAAGAATAATATGCAGGTGCTCCACATATTTTACACTCCATTGGAATTTTCTTTGATTTTTTCGTAATATTCATATATTGACTTGTATCGTTCCAATTTTCAATAAAATTATTATCCATTATTAAACGTTTTAATTTTATATTGTTTGTCTCTAATTCATAATCTAGAATGAAAATGAGATTTAAAGTAATGACGAAGAATAAAAGTGTCTTTCTTTCTGTAAAGTAGAACGAATGCTCGAATAGTTGTGTATGTGTGTCGTCTACTCGATGCACGTTACCCTGAGGTTTGAAAGAACAAGCATGTGTATTGCGCAGAAAAGAAAAGAAAAGAAAAGAAAAAATCCAATATGCACTGAATACCCTTTCGTTTCTTTTCTTTTTTTCTATAAATAGGAAGACACAATAATAGCTTATTCATTCAATTTTAAATGATTACTGAAGCAAACCCTCGAAACAGTAGATTTCTCATAAAATTTTTATTTTTTGATTATTGGAAACAGTACGAGAAAAAAAAAATATATGGATTATGATAAAATGATTATTATTATTATTATTTTGTTAAAATCGAGTTTATAAAATTTATTCTAAATAAATTTTCAATGAATAAAATATTAAGATAATAAAGTCTTTCTACTTAGAAAAATATAATATTAAGAATAACATATAACAATATCAGTTAAGAACTTCATATGTGTGTATCAAATGATGAGATGAATCATTAAAACGAAAACAAAAAAAAAATTAAGAAACTATTGTATGTAGAATTATCAAATAATTCAAGATGAATTCATGGGAATTCAATCACTTATTTGACAATAATTATTTTTTTTTTCTAATTTTTTAAAGCATAGATAGATGCTTGATGATTAGAAAATATGTTTGGAAAAACAATCGTAACTTTCAATAAAATAATATTTAATTTCTATGATCATGTTTTAGGAATATGTTCAATAATAATTCCCAAAATATATTCAGTCAAGTTTATTTTCAATTTTTTGTAACAGTTAATAAGATGAAAAAAGTTTTTGATAAACCAAATTTTTTTTACTCCTAGAATTTGCAACTGAAACGTCTTCGAGGTCTATTCACTATTCGTTTTTTGATGGTTATACAACAATCTTACGGAAGGCACACAAAATGACATTTCAATCAGAATTGGGTACATGACATGACAGAAAATATTCTGCTGTTTTGTATATTTTCTTATTAATAGTATCTACTATATTTTAAGATAATAATGATAAAATCCTACAAATTGATATTCTTTTTTTAAATATTTGTTTTCTGTTATGAACATGTCATTAATATAATAAATTAATATGTTTCTACTCATTATTTTCTTGTATTTATAATATTAGCCATTTATTAAAAACTTGAGTTGCTGTGTATAAAAAAAATATGACAAAATAAATCAACTATAAGATAAGTAATAAACTAGATTTACTTTAATGATCGAAAGTGAGAATAAAAACTTCCACTATTCGATGTTTAGATCTGGTTTCGATATGAAATAACAGAAAAAAAAAAACGATTTTTATACCTTCTATAAAGTTTTTTTTATCTTGATGAAAAAAAATGTCTTTGAGCGCCGGAAGATATTTCATGTCGTATAGAATTGTTTGTTTTATCATTCTGTGTAGTTTAAACAGGATCTTATATGCAAATTCTAGACGATAAAAAAATTGTCATTTTTTTTTCAATGGCTTTGTCATTGAAAAGTTGGCCATCTTTTTCATCGTCGAAAATTTTTATTGAAAATAAAATTCTCTACACACATTACTATTTGGATTCTTATTAGTGGTCTTCGCCAGTAGAAACAATTGTAAATAAACCTGAGTGACTAATTTAGAAGCTCAATTCAATTCAACTCAAAGATATTTCTAAAATTGTTGTTATAAGATCAATTTACAGAATAAAACTAATAAAAAATGAAGCTATGATTATGATCTAATTTATAATTATTATCCAGAACTTTTGTCTCAAGATAGTTATATCACACTCGCATTTCGGTGTATATTTCTGTTGTACTCGCATCAATGTATCGCTATTTCTTTTTTCTTTTTTGATGATTGCATATAATTTACGCATTTATGCTTTTAACATACCGACGTGTTTTCCTATTCTTTCATGTGATAGATACAATGCTTATTTATCCATATCTTATAGGACAATATCATTTGTTTGGTAGATTGATGTGTCACCTATTGTGAGCATATATCTCTTATACTGTACTCCTCTTTTGTTCATTATTATTTGATTCAGTTATGATCTTCTTTTATAGTCTGCTAATATTGTTGAATAAGTCCTTCAAATCATTCTATAATAGATAATCCTTGTTATGTTCCGGCATGAAGGAGAGGAAAATTTTTATGTGATTAACAACAATAAAAAAAAAAAAGACTCTTTCTAAAACGTTTAATGGAGGAAAACAAGAACAAATGTGTCGACGAGAATTTTCTAATGTGGGTGTGAGTTCGGGGATCGAAAGACACAAGATACAATCCGACACCTACATCCTTCCTCTGTAGTTTTCCTTCTTCTGTTGTTGCCGTGCTTTATATTTTGATGTTGATATGTTTCCGTTTTTCATTACTTACATTTACTTTATTCATATTTCATCCTTCATTCAGATGTATCTTCATTCACTTATACTCTCCTTTCTTTCTTGCTTGTCATCATATTTTTATGTGTCTTTCAGCGTATTAAAATATATCATTGGAACTTCATCGACATTCATATTCTGATTTTCTCTTATTTTTGTCATTTGCCATCATTATCGTTGCGACATCTGGCATCTTCAATAGTTGCGTCTCGTACCACATTTATCGGCGTAAAAAGAGAATCATTATATCAGTTTTATTTTCGGCTGCCTTTTGTGAGTAGGTTACGCAACAATACAATTGTTCGTGGCTCGTTGATTTGGAAGTTCACGTTTTCATAAAAATCTTCGAATATAGATTCAAATTCAAATGATTGAATAAATCACTTTCCTTTTGTTCTATTTTATAGTTATAGAAGCAACATGAATCTGCAAAAAAATGAATGATAGCATGAAGGTTGTACGTATAGTTGTTGAAACCATTTTTATACTTACGACTATTCAACAAAATAAATGACAAATTGTATAATAATCTATTTAGTAAAACAGACATCAAATTATTGAAATCGATTTTTGACTTGCGATTGAACTTAAATAAAAAAGGTATATCAATACTGTCATAGACCGACCTCTGTTTTTAGACTCAGGTTGGTTGCAGCAACTTGTCTCTCTTATTTTGTTTATCTTGATCATGGACATGTATGATTACACTTTTCTTTTGCTTTCTGTTGATATGTTAATTTTATTTTTGTGTTCTTACGAAAAAGAAATCGAGATAGACCACCAAATGCAAGTTATCCTAATATAGAAGAAGTTGCTTATTGACTTTGCTTGGGTCATTAAACACGAGTTTTTGTTAGTTAACTGAACTTATATCTCAATTCTCTATTAGCTATTCATAGTTCCGTGTGAATTCTGTTGTAGATCCCATCTACGACTACTCAATATTCTATATGGCTGATAATCATAAAACTCAAAACATCCGCGGTAAGAGGAATATAAATGATCACAACTCCCTCGATCGAAAGGAACATCAAAAGTAGTTTAGAGAAAATTTCACGGTTGAAAAGAAAAAGCATAGTAGTTCTAGTCGCAAACGAGTGTCGACTTTTGTTTCTAATCATTCATCTTTCTCTCGTATAGTAATACAGGTTATTCTTGGCGAACTCGTCAGCATTGCAGAATCAGTCTGGAGACGGTGTCTAAAGCCATTGGTCATTTCTAGCATCATCTGCAGTATCTTCTATGCAGTCTACATGTGCATTATTTGTTTCCATGCATGCAGCATACCCTTTGTATATCAGTTTTGTCCAAGCGGTGACTTGACACCGATTTCTTCACCTCCTGTAAGCACTTTTGGTGAGAAAACTGCTTCGCTTGCTGAGACATTGATCGATGCGGATGTCAGCGCTCCAGTGCATCTCATTCGGGCCAAGTCAGCATTGATTGAAATTCGAGCCCAAATTTTTCATAGTGATATTCATCATATGGTCAAAAATGAATTAGTCATAGGTTTGAACGAATTAAAACAGTTCACACATCAAAGTGCCGAACAATTCTCAATTATGCTGGTTTCGTTTAGTGCCGCCATCGACAATATGAAGATTTACATCAAATTTGCTCTCGAAGGTCTTTCTCAGATAGCCAATGAAATGAAGCAAGCTCGACAACGCCAGATAGGTATCAAAAGGATTGCCTTGTTGCTGCTCATACACATCTATAGTACGAAATCATCATTATCTTTTGCCGCTCCGTACTTGATGTGATGTCCATTTTCTTAACTTTTACCACCGAAATTTTCTCACGTTTTACGTAATCATTATCATATGAACATTTTCAGTTAAGAACAGCTTAGCACAAATCGATTAGACGAATTAGGGCATAGTTCATTTTGGTCGAAATTATTTGATGAAGGAAATATTGGCATTGCCAAGTATAAACGTAATTTGGCATAGCTGGAGAATTTCAGTAAATTTCTTAACGCGGCTATGAACAGTGTTGGCGAAGTGGTAGCCAAACTTCGATCGTTCAAATACGAGGCAGAACACCTGCAAGAAACTGCAGCTACTCTTCCTTACGTATCGCATCTGTCGGTTGAAAGGCAAACACAGCTGCTCAAAGAGGCACTCAGACGACTTACACTATCTAAAGACGCTTTTATGGGAAAAAAAGAAACTAGCTGATTTATCTCATTCCAAGAATGATTTTGATGACGGAAGCTTAAAAACAGAGTTTTAATATCTAGAAATTTCGATAAATGAATGCATTATAATTGAGGTTTCATTTCTGCTGAATAAAAAGATTTAACACAGTATTTGAGCTGTAACAATGATCAACACAGATATGGGTCCTGCATTCATTGCTCAAATTAGCAGACACAATTCATATTATCATCGTCCTATAATGTCTCTAGGAGGCATTGCACGTAAGCCACGACCATTTTAAGCATAACCCTGCTCAATCGATGTCATCGATTTGGCTGATATTTGTACAGTACATAGCCCACATAGAGTTAGCA